GTTTTTTTTTTTTTTTTTTTTTTAAAGAGAGAAGCACTGTTTTTTGCGAGTTGTCTCTGTGGGAGGAGGGGGGTGTTTAAATGTTCAATTGAGGAGGGCATTGATTGCATGCATGTGATCGGTCATTAATGTGCACGACCCTCCTCCTCTTCCTCTTCCACCCATTTTAACATCCCCCTCAACAATCACAGTGTAGGATCATAAACTCGTTTTTATTTTTTTTGGGTGGGCTTACTAGTATTTGCTTCTGAATTTGCTCTGTGAAATATTGTAGACCATCTCATTTTGGGCATGGGAGAACAAAGAATGGTCGGAAACAGTTTATTTGCTTTCTGCACAATTGAAGTCCGGTACGTATTTTTGGTTTTTCTGAAAAATGGAGGGGAATATTTCTGAGTCCAAACTTTACCACATAAAAGTAAGTCATTTAGCAATGATTAAGTAAATTGACTTTATAGTTGATTATGTACATTCTATTAGCTGAAAAAAAAAAATCCAAGATCATCATTTCAATACGTGCTTCTCAATGATTGACAATGGTGCCGGTCATTGATTTTGAAACCGCGCTTCGGCCTTTCAAGAATAATGATAACACTTAGTTCTGTACAACTTTTACACTGCAAGAGAGAGAGAGAAGCGTGTGTTGTGCGCGGCGGAAGCCAAACAACCGATGTGCTTCGAGAAATCAAACCAATCGCCGAGAGAGAGGTCACAAACAATTCAAAATAACGGCACAAACTTAAACAACCAATTTTAACGTGGTTCGGCAAGTTGCCTACGTCCACGGGACAAGAAGGGGATGAATTGTTTGTGGCCTTCTCTCGGCGATTGGTTTGGTTTCTCGAAGCACATCGGTTGTTTGGTTTCCGCCGCGCACAACAAGTGGCATCAGAGCTCGGGCTACGCTTGGGCTATTTGGAGGAGTAGATCGTTTTGGAGGCTCGTCTAGGGCTTCGTTTAGTGATAAAGGTGTGATCTTTTTAGTAAAGACTACCTTTTTAAATTTTAGATCTATTCTTCGTTTGTTCCGTTTTGGTTTGTTGGTGCTTTGAAAAAGATGGTCGAGAAAGAAGGAGTTGTGGAGGGTACTTTCGGCGTGAAGACCATCAAAAATTTGAATATCCACTCTATGAAAATAGATGTGGAGAAGTTTAATGGCACAAACAATTTTGATCTTTGGAGATGTGAAGTCTTGGATGGGCTCAATGCGCAAAATTTAGAGGATACTTTGGAGTTGGACCGGAAACCGGACGACATTGAGGAGAAGGTTTGGAAGAAGATGAATCGAACGGCGTATGGTGTGATTAGATCTTATTTGACTCAAGATTTGAAATATGATGTGATCAATGAGACTTCGGCTAAGAAGATTTGGGAGATCCTTGAGAGCAAGTATTTGACAAAGAGTGTAGAGAATCGCTTGTATTTGAAGAGGAAGCTTTATCGCTTCCAATTAAAGAAAGGAACCTCCATTGGTGATCACATGAACCACTACACGAAGCTTCTTACGGATTTGACGAATGTAGATGTGATGATTGAAGATGAGGACAATGTGTTGTTATTGTTGAGTTTCTTGCCCGACGAGGAATATGAGACCTTCGTTCTTACTCTTATTAATGGGAAGACATCTCTTTCGTATAGTGAGGCCACAACTGTACTTGTGAATTATTAGCTTCGAAAGAAGTATAAGGAGACTTCAGTTAAGTTGGCAGTAGGGGCATTGGTCACAAGAGCAAATGGTCCAAACCGAAATAGGAGGTCGCAGTCTAGAGGGGCACATCCTGGAGTTCGTAGGAATCAGTGTGGCTTTTGTAAAGAGGATGAACATTGAAAAGCCGAATGCCCAAAGTTCGTTGATTGAGCCGGGAAGAATAAGGGGAAAGCTATTCAAGCTTCAGAGGTGAATGTTGTCAAGGCTAGTGGCGACAATTCATATTCGGATTCTTCGGGCTATTCATTAGCATTACCGTTAGTTTGTGTTGCCGACTCTACAGAGTGAATGTTGGATTCGGGTGCTTCTTATCACATTTGATCTAGGATGGATTGGTTCTCTAGTTTTTAGAAGTTGAAAAGAGGGGATATCGTGCTCATGGGTAATGATCATTAATTCCCTTATTGGTGGTATCGGTACCGTTCGTATTAGGATGTATGACGGAGTGATTCAGGAGTTGGATGAAGCGAGGTTCGTTTCTCAGTTGAAGAAGAACATCATTTCACTTAGAGTTTTGGAGACAGCATGCTATAGGGTGACCTTAGAAGATACATGTTTGAAAGTTATATTTGGGTCCATGATTGTGATAAAGGGGGTCAGGAGGAAGAATTTATACTATTTGATTAGGAGAACGGTGATTGGTAGAGAACTGACGACTTGTTTGGATTTGGCTAGACTATGGCATTTGTTAAGGCTGTGATATTTGATTGGTTATGCCGTGCATGGTTTGTTGATGAGTGATTTGACCTGCAGATTGAAGTCCTTTGAGCACATTAGTATGAGCAAGAAGACCAAGGTGAAGTTTGGCACCTCTATCCATCGATCGAGGGGTCTTTTAGGTGGTGTTCATTCAGGCATTTGGGAGCCTTCCAAAGAGGCATTATTAAGAGGTAATAGGTATTTGGTTTCCATAGTTGGAGACTGTTCTAGGCATTAGTGGGTTGCAACCAAGTCCTATTGGTTTGAAGTCCTAGATGTCAACAACAGATGGAGGAAGTGTGTTGGCAGAAAGGTAACTGCTAGACCCTAGAGGGGGGGGTGATTAGGGTCTTATGCTAATCTAATCCGATTAAATGCCAATTAAAATTAATTAACAAGTTATCCTAGCAAGTATGAAATACAACAAAAATATAAGCTAGAATAAGCAATATGAACAATAAGATATATCCTATATGATAGAAATATATGGAAGGATATATAAACAACACAAGGATAAATAATCTAAACAAGATAGTGGATGAAATAAATGAGCAATGCACAATTGGCGATATAAGATAAATGCAAAAACAAATACGCCAAAGACAAACTCAAACAAGCAATATGATCACGGAGTTCGGACGTTCCGTCCTACGTCTCCGCTCCCCACTCCCGGGGAGAAATCCACTATCACAACCGGGTTTTCTACGTTCACCCGAATAACGTTTACACCTCACAGTATCGGTTTTCAACGCTCACCGATCAACGTCACTCCTCACAATCGGTTTTCTAGTTCACCGAAAACTTCACAACACACTCGGTTTTCTAGCTCACCGAAAACCTGACACAACTCTCAATGTAACAAATATAAATTTGTTCTCTACAATAGATGAGAACTCAATTAAGCACAACTCAATGTTACAATCTCTCACAACCCTAATATACTATGTATGTAAGTACAATAAGCTCATGTGGGTGTGTGTAACAATGAGATTCAATAAGTCAAAACTAAACTCAATTTAAAATCTAGCATGTAGAAATTTATGAATAAAACAATAAATAGCTAGAAATAGAGTTTAGGAATTCTTCTCTGAAAATCAAGTTGGAGAGGAGGATTAAAATGAAGTTCAAACACTGCAGATGATCTTCTCCACTTGTAAAACAATCTTCACAAACAAAACAGTCTTTGAACCCAACTAAAAACCCTTTTCAAACTCTTTTAAACTTCTTTAAAAACTCTTCTATGGGTTACTGAAATAGAAGGGGGTTTAGGGGTTTATATAGGAAGAGAAACCAACAGCCAAAACCCTAAACAAAACAACGAAAATCCCAAAAAAACATGAAAGAGATTCTGTACCCAATATGACCGTTGGGAGTTCGGCGGTCGATCGAAAATATTCGCGGTCGACCGCGATCCAGATCTCAGACTGAGAAAACAAGCAGGAACTTCGTTGGTCGACCGCACCGGTCGACCGATGGAAATTTCGAGCTCTCGGTCGACCGGTGCGGTCGACCGACAAACTCTCTGCTGCCCACTGACGAATGATCACATGTGCGGTCGACCGGTGCGGTCGACCGAGGACTGATACATTCCAAAACTGATTTTAAAACAGATTTTTTGACTTTTTGGAAAATTGTTAAAAATAACAAATGAAGTTCAGAAAAAAATGAAACTTTGGGAAATGTATATAAACATGTAAATGAACATGTTACAAAAAGAAATTTTCAAATTACATTTTCTCATTTGTGAAAAATCATCATTTTGCAAAAATAGTCCAAAATACGAAAATGTAAACATGTGAATTTTGACATTTAGGCTAAACCATGTTTTGAAACTTTGCACAATGATTATATAGACTTAATAAAATATGTATATGATTATTGTTAAGTCCAAAAACTAAGAAAATAATATTTTCACAACTAAAACACAATAATAAATATGAAACATGTGATTTCATATTTATAAACATGAAAACTCAAAAACACAAGTATGTATATATATAACTATATATATGCATAGAAACCAAAACTTATGTATATATATAACTATATATATATATATATATATATATATATGAAGAAACCAATAAATGTGTGTGTATAGGATATTGAGCTTGAAGTATTAACACACATAATATAAGCCCTAAACTAATTTACCCAAGCTTGATCGGTCTTCAATATGCTTGACTTGGTACACTTACGGATGAAGCTGAACTTGATCTTTAACTTGAGTTGTATGTTGCTTCACTCCACAATTCCGCCAACCTCCTCTTGATATGAACGTGTAGGCTCAATCCATCCAACCTCCAGGTAATCTCGCGGATGAAGCTTGAACTTGGATCTTGAACTTTGAATAGCAAGGCTTCACCGACATTCCGCTAACCTCCATTGGATATGATCGTTGAAGCTCTATTCCATCCATCCTCCAACCATGTTGTTTGTCTATAATAAATAAGAAAACACAAATACTAGACAAACAACATTAGTGATAAATTGTTTGTTAAACATCATCAAAACAAGAAGGCCAACAATCTCCCCCTTTTTGATGATGACAAACAATTTACAAAAAGAAATATATGC